TATACTGCAAAAGAAAGAACACACATATATAAAATAGAGCAAGAACAGGCTCTGAGGAGATGGATTGGAATGAAACTTATCTATAAAGAACTTATTGTGTCTAAAAAAAGAACTTATTATTTCTAAATATATCTGTATATGTATGTATATATGTGTGTATATCTCATAATATATATGTCTCATAATACATACCTGTGTGTGTGTATATATACACACACACACACACACACACACATTTCTCATAAGAGAAAGTTGCCTTCTCCACACCTGATAGCCAGGGCATTGCAGTCTCTGAAAGGAGTTGTCAAAGATTCAGGTCCCTCTGGGATGTCCATATTACACATTTCTGCATTCCCAGCCTAGGCACCTGCATTCAGAGGCTGCTTATGAGAGGTGAATGGCCTTGGTTGAGAAATTTTTCAATTACTTCTGCAAAACCAACTTATTAGGAAATCTTGCAGATTTATGTATCAATTCTAATGTAGTATTTCATTTTTCCCTCCTAGAATTTTCACCTCCTTCCTTGCCTGCTCCCAAGTTCCATAAAACATCAGGATTCTTATGTTTGGAACTCCTTCAGAAGTGAAATGATTTCCCTCTGTGCTGATACAACTGTCCCATGCTTAGTGCCATTCTATATAAAGAAATGAATACTAGGGAGCCAGTGCCCTTTCCTGTTTAATCTTTCATTCAGATAATCATAGTAGGTGAATAAAGGCTTAATTGTTACATTGAATTTGGCTCATTGTCTTATGTAACTACATAGACACCTGGGAACTCTCTGTGACAAATTGGCACAGAAAACAGGATAGTCAATTTAGCACAATGTAATCCTGGAAAAAGCAAAAGTCCTGAGGATGGACCATGATAGAGAAATCCACAGAACCTCTTGGGGGCTGGTACTGAGCATTTTCAGGAATTTATGGGTCTGGCAGTACACTTCATCAGCCATGCCAATGGGTCTTAAGGGACAATACAGTTTGGTTTTGGATAGTAGTAGCAAACGCTTTATGTAAGCTTTTCCAGTTCTAAGTGGTACCAATGGTCATTCTCTTTAGCTCCTGTCTACATGGGCAAGATACCATCTAATGGTCAAATTAGAGATTCAACACAGGGGTCTCTGAGGAAGACTTTGGAAGTAATTTTAGGGCTGTTGCTTATGATTCTTCAGTGATGAGATTAAAAGTCATCAGAAAACCTGTGAGTGGAGTTATAATTCCTCTAAGCAGTCCCTGGCACCAATGAATACCCATGATGCTGCTATAGAGACTAGTTCTTTAATGAAAAAGAATGCAGAAACCTTCAGGATTGCTTTTTCCAGCTGTCTGAAGAGACCTTAGAGACTGACTAGTTTACCTCCACAATAGAGGAGATAATCTTTAAAGGAAGTGAGGGAGAGTGGAACCTTTTGAGGTACATAACTATGGAAACTCTCCTTCAGAATAACCAGATAGGGGCCATTTTGCCCAAGAAAGTAAAGGACAGGAAATAAATGAGAGGGAAACACCCAAGACCTCTCCACTTTCAAATAGGTACTATTTAGTTTCCAAAATATTTGGCCCACTTGTAATGAGTTGTTCTCTATGACTAAAATATGTTTGGACCACTTTTGCAGAAGCTTTAGCAGTGCTTCAAATCATACTGGTGTTCCCTTGCTTCTACAATGAGAGAATGAGAACAGTCAATGCTGAGATTGTTAATCAGACCCAGATTTCTAGGTTCATTCATGCCAATGCTGCTGATTATCAAGCTCAATTAAACCTCTTTATAAGGTCAGGTCAATTTTTCCATACAAATTTGGATCATAACTAACAAATCTGGGGACATGTGAAAAATCAACTACTGCCAAAATATTAGATATAGTCTATCAGAAAGAGTGACATAAAAAGGGTGATCAGGCACAAACTCCTAGAAAATCCAGGCAATGGTCTTCCTTATTGAGATCTTTGAATCTTGCTACTTAACAATATTTTCACAACTGAGATTGATGGGCTCTCTGCCAAGGAGCCCAAGTTCAGGTAGTATGCCAGGGAGGGTGCAAGAGGAAGTCCCTAGGGCCTGCAGGGTGATAGCCCTATAATTAATAGGAAGTACTATTCCCTTTATTTGCTCCAGTAAATCTTGAGATGAATGAAAAACCCTGCCAATTGTAAACCAGAACTTTCAGCCTTTAAACAGAAACAAAACTATGTATCAAAACCAAGGGCTTTATGTCCTTATTAGGGAAAGAGGCCCTATCCCAAAGTCAGAGTTTAATGGGGACATGGAGAACAACTGCATTTGGGGGTCTTTTGGATACTGGCACAAGGATGTCTATGATATCCATACAATGTATAACACCAGAATGAGGGGAAAAATAGATAATCCTATGTGGTTTGGAGTATGAGGCCACCATCAACATGACTCTTTTCTATCCAGACAGACCTCCACTGCTATGGTGTCCACTACTGAATGCATTATTGGTATAAATGTATTGTCTATGTGATCCCCTGTTTTCCTTTTTTTTTTTTTTTTTTTTTTTTTTACCTCTGTTTTCCTTGAAAGGAACTATTTCAGTTAAGGCTATTTCAGTAGGATGTGTGGAAGGCTATATACCTACTCACTTATCAGCCTTTAGTGCTTTTGTCTCAAAAACAACTTCCTGGGAGAAAAAAAAAGTACCTGCCTCTCATTGTGTGCTTCAGGAAGACAAAGTTCCCCCAAATGACCTATGTACAAGATTTTGCGCTTCTGGAGTCCCAATTAATTATAAGGTAGTTTAATGCTACAGTGCGGCCCTTGACACCGGCAGTACCTATACTATAACTGTCACAGAGGCTATTTTCCAAGATGAAGGAACTTGCTATGTTGCAACTGACATCACAAATATCCTTTTCAGTATTGCTTTCAGTTTATCCAATTGGAATGTGTTGCAATACACCATTACTGGTCTTCCATAAAAGTCCTTAAACTCCCTATCTGACCTAAAGTTTATCAAGGCCATAACCTGGAAAGAGGTCCCACTGCCATAGGGACAACTAGCCTTACTCTGTATTAATGACATCATCCAAATGCCAGAAAAAGGCACCAGCAAGCAAGGACCAGATACCCGGTTAACTCACATTAACCCAGACATGGTACAAGGACCAAATCCAAGTGAAATACCTATATGAGAAGGGTCACAATGTCTTGCTTGAGAGTAGACAATTCCCAAGCCTTTTACATTCTCTGGCCCAAGAAATACAAGGAATCTCAATAATTGGTGGTACTATTTGTCTACTGGTGATCTACATTCCTCACAGGTATCTTGATGGCACCAAAATATCAGATTATCAAAAAGATCTCTACATTTGAGAGAGACCTGACAAATGGACGCCCTGGATGTCCCCTGACAGATCTTTTAGTTACCTATGGTATTTTAGTCACCTTTGGTGTATTAGGTAACCCTTAGTTACCTATGGAGGCCCCTATGATACACATTTTTCATTTAAGTTATATGTCTTAGCACCTCTCTGTTTGCCAGTTGTAAGCTATGCTGAAAGACAAAGCTATCAGTCAAGGGCAACCACTGCATTTATGAACACATAATCAAATGAAGTGAGATGATAACTATATATCCTTTGAGAGTCAGTTGATGCCCTATTATTGCATCATAGTTGAGTATATGATCCATGGCCATAAAATAATCTTAGTACCAAAAATCTCAAGCAAGATGTATCAATACTTTTGTTTTCTGTTCACTAATTATCTTAGGGTATTAGTACTTTAGGATAAACTAAAAATTCTATAACATGTGCTCAAATACATATTCATGAACCAAACAAAAGGACCATCTGGTGAGTTTAATTTAAAATATTTTGATGCTATCTATAATTATTGTACTTACTAGTGAGTCCTTCTCTTCTGAGAGTTCTTTGTTTCTTTACTTGCAGTTGGGTTTTTGACAATGAACCCTGATTCTTATGTGTCATCTTTTCATCTGGTACTTTATCATGATCTACAATATTTTCCACTAAATGGAAAAACATATCTATTGTGAAATATGTGAAATCTCTAGGTTTAAAATTAATAATAAATGTGCAGCAGGATTTTTCCTTATTTTCATAAAGTTTTAAGTAAACTGCCACAATGATAATAGATCCACATGAACTTGTGAGATCAATTTTAGTAGAGATGTATATTGAAGTTGTCTCATTGTTTCATAAATATTCTGAGGCATCAAATACATTTTATATTAGTCTCTAGTTTTCTTACTTTATTTGGGCAATTAAATATTTGTAGGTCAAAAATGAAAATGCATATTACAAGTTTTTTCATTACAGTATTATTTATAATTACAAAATATTCAAAACCACCCAAATATACAAACATAGAAAACTAGTTGAATAAACTAAGGTATATATTATAAACTATGGCATAGTTTAAATCGTGGTACATAATGTATTAGAACAACTGTACATACTGCTATAAAGAAAAGCAAAAGATCTCGACAAAATTAATTAGAAGGATTTTTGAGGTAATGTTAGGTGGGGGGGGAGACTGAAATAGAGAATACCTAGCATGCTACCTTTTGTAAAAAAAAAAAAAAAAGGTAACAGAAATAAAGAGGGTGGGAAAAGATAGGGTTTTTAAAGTAAAATATAAAAGAACAAACCAGAAAACAACATAGTTGGATTCCTATAAGTGGAGATTGAAGACTGGGGAATGTAAGGGAAGAAATGCTAATTTTACATCTTTTTGCATATTTACTACTTTTGGAAGAAAGTTCATTTTTACATATTCCAAAAATAAATTTTAAAAATAAAAAGGTCAGCTAAAACAGAAAGAAAACTGTTGGAGATGGAGAAAATAAGTACAAATCCAAGTAATAAATCAACAGTATTTGACATATACCCTCAGTCTTAGGCAAGAGAGTGGGATGTAAAAATCACAGAAATTTTTAGTAGTTTTTCCTTTTTCTAGTGCTATCAGGTAAGCAACTGTGAAGCAAAGTCCTACTGCACAACTGTGCAGCGGAAATACTAGCTCTTCACTATACTGATTACAACCTTCTGGTGGGCCCAAACAAGGACATTATCCAACAAGGACTGTATATCATGCTGATCCATATGGGGCAACATGGTTGGGCCATTCGTATAAACAAAGTACAAGGACCTAGTATCCAAGAAAAATTCCAGGGCAGGATCTGCAAGAGACAAGACATCTTATTCCACAAGAGATGTTTGTGAATTTTTTGGCCCTCTCTTCCCCCAATTCTAAAAATAGTCCAAATATTGGTGAGACTCTTTGACTAAAAACTTTCTACCCAAAGAGGTTTCGTGGTACATATCTATGGGGTTAGCATAAGGTTAGTTTACCATCTGTTCACCATTGAAACCTATTGCAAAAAAGACAATGACACAAGTCTGAGGCAACCATTGGTCCTTTGGACGAGTAACCTTTCAGCTTTGGCTAAAAGGAACACAATCTTTGTGAGACAGTTATTGGCCTACTATTGCCCTTGGTGGATACTGAGCCCTTAACTATGGGTGTGAAATAGTATTAAGATCAGAAATTCCAAACAAAATGTATCAATAATTTTGCTTTTTTTCTCTAGTTATCTTAGGGTATTCACACGTTAAATTAACATGTAAAATTTCTAAAAAAAATATATCCTAGCTATATCTTCATGAGCCAAAGAAAAACAGATCCACTGATAATTTAATTTAAAATAATATGCAGGGTTTTGTACTTTTTAAAAACTTACTAGTGAATCTTCCCTCTCTAGGAGTCTTTTCTTGCTCTACTTCTGTTTTAGTTTTTGACACTAAATCTTGATGTCCAAGTATATGCTCTTCATCTGGTACTTCATCATTAGCTACATAAAGAAATATATTTATCCATTAAATATAAAAAAGATCTATTGTAAAATACATAAACTTCAAATTTATACAAGTGTACAGAAAAATTCTCTTTCATTTTGATAAAACTAAAAATACCAAATGGTGAGAAAAGTTTTAATGAGTATTTTTGATACTCTTATTATTTCTTAAATGTTTACAGAAATTGAATCTACTTAGATTAGTTCTGGTTTTCTCAGGTATTTATACTTAGGTTAATACATATACATAGACAAAACAATCAAACACATATGCACAAGGTTAGTTATGACACATCATTTGTAATTGCATAATATTCAAAACTACCTAAATGTTCAAACATACATTGCTGTTTGAATAACTGAAGAAATATACTATAAACTAGGGTGTGATATAAACATTGGTGTGTTGGCAGGATGCTCTTTAACCTCCATGTGTTTGAGTTTCTTCAAAATTTCTTGTTGTGATTGAGTTGAAGATTCAAAGCATTATGGTCTGAAAATATGCACGGGACAATCCCAATCTTTTGGTATTGGTTGAGACCTGATTTGTGACCCAGTATGTGGTCTATTCTGGAGAAAGTTCCATGTGCACTTGAGAAGAACGTGTATTCAGTAGCATTTGGAGGTAAAGTTCTGTAAATATCTGTGAAATCCATCTGGTCCAGTGTATCATTTAAAGCTCTTGTTTCCTTGGAGATGTTGGACTTAGAATATCTGTCATTTGGGATCCCTGGGTGGCGCAGCGGTTTAGCGCCTGCCTTTGGCCCAGGGCGCGATCCTGGAGACCCGGGATCGAGTCCCACGTCGGGCTCCCCGTGCATGGAGCCTGCTTCTCCCTCTGCCTATGTCTCTGCCTCTCTCTCTCTTTCTCTCTGTGTGATTATCATAAATGAAGAATTTTAAAAAAAGAATATCTGTCATTTGCAGAAAGCGCCGTGTTCAAGTCTCCCAGTATTAGTGTATTATTATCTAAGTATGTCTTTACTTTGGTTACTAATTTATTGTTATATTCGGCAGCTCCCACATTAGGGGCATAGATATTCATGATTGTTAGGTCCTCTTCTTGGTTGGATCCTTTAAGCATGATATAGTGTTCCTTTTCATCTCTTACTACCATCTCTGGAATAAACTTCAATTTATCTGATATGAGGAGGGCTACCCCTGCTTTCTTTTTTTTTTTAAGATTTATTTATTTATTCTAGACAGAGAGAGAGAGAGAGAGAGAGAGAGGCAGAGACACAGGAGGAGGAAGAAGCAGGCTCCATGTCAGGAGCCCAACGGGACTCTATCCCGGGAATCCAGGATGGCGCCCTGGGCGAAAGACTTTAGGCGCTAAACCGCTGAGCCACCCAGGGATTCCCGCCCCCTTGCTTTCTTTTAAGGACCATTTGAATGGTAAATGATTCTCCAAATTTTCATTTTCAGGCTGGAGGTGTCCTTAGGTCTAAAATCAGTCTCTTATAGACAGCAAATAGATGGGTCTTGCTTTTTTATCCAGTCTGAAACCGTACGCCTTTTGATGGGGTCATTAAGCCCATCACGTTCAGAGTTACTATTGAAATACATGAATTTAGGGTCATCATGATACCTATTCAGCCCCTGTTTTTGTGGATTGTTTCTTTGGGCATCCTCTTTCTTTTACAGAGTCCCCCTTAATATTTCTTGCAGAGCTGGTTTTGTAGTCACATATTCTTTCAGTTTCTGCCTGTCTTGGAAGCTCTTTATCTCTCCTTCCATTCTGAATGAGAGCCTTGCTGGATAAAGTATTCTTGGTTGCATGTTCTTCTCATTTAGGACCCCGAATATATCCTGCCAGCCCTTTCTGGCCTGCCAGGTCTCTGTGGAGAGGTCTGCTATTAATCTAATACTTGTCCCCATGAAAGTCAGGGATTTCTTGTCTCTTGCTGCTTTAAGGATCTTCTCATTATCTTTGGGATTTGCAAGTTTCACTATTAAATGTTGAGGTATTGAATGGTTTTTATTGATTTTAGGGGGGATCTATCTCCTGGGTCTGAATTCCTGTTTCCCTCCCCAAATTAGGGAAGTTCTCAGCTATGATTTGTTCAAATACGCTTTCTGGTCCTCTGTCCCTTTAAGCGCCCTCTGGAACCCCAATTAAATGTAGATTTCTCCTTCTGAGGCTGTCATTTATTTCCCTTAACCTTTCCTCATGGTCTTTTCATTATTTTTCTCTCTTTTCCTCAGCTTCCTTCCTTGCCATCAACTTGTCTTCTATGTCACTCACTGGTTCTTCTGCCTTATTAACTCTCATCGTTAGGACCTCCAGTTTGGATTGCATCTCATTTAATTGACTTTTTAATTTTGGCCTGATTAGATCTAAATTCTGTAGTTATGAAGTCTCTTGAATCCTTTGTGCTTTTTTTTCCAGAGCCGTCAGTAGCTTTATAATTGTGCTTCTGAATTGACTTTCTGACATTGAATTGTAACCCAAATTTTTAACTCTGTGAGAGGGAGTCCTGTTTCTGATTCTTTTGTGGTGAGTTCTTCTTTCTAGTCATTTTGCTCAGTGCAGAGTGGCTAAACAGAAGTTGCACTTGTTAGAAGTGCAAACTCTTGTCTCTGTAGTGTTCCAGCTGTTCTCTCTTTAAATTTCAGGTTGAATTTGTAGGTCTTCAGGATGATTTGAGAGTTATCTAAGTAAGTTGGTGGGGACAGATGACTTGGGGACCCTACTCCTCTGCCATCTTGCCCTGCTCCCTCAAGATTTTATTATATGTATATTAACTAACTCTCTGGCAGTGAGTACTTCCTACTGTTCTTTCTTTTGAGGTACATTTCTCCATCTCATCATTATGTCCAGAAAAGAACAGAAGAAAGTAAGAGAAAAGACAGAAATAACAACACCATAAAAAAAAACAGAAGAAAATAAAAACAAAACTAAACAAGGAACAAACATATAAGCAGTAAAACAGAACAAACAATAAACTAGGTCCTGAATGAATTTCATCTGTTTGCTAAAAGAAACAAGATTTCCAAAATAGGAAATAGGAAAGAGTGAAAAACATATATATGTTTATATATATGTATATATATATAATATATATATGTTTATATATATATATATTATATAATATAAAATACAATGAAAGGAAAACACAGCAAATATATAAAAATAAAAATTTAAAATGAATTGATAAAACAAATAGCTGAAAAAAAATAAAACTGGGAGACTAAAGAATAATTTTAAAAACCCACAAATGCTATAATACAGTTTTCCTCAGGAGCTATATAGTTCTGCTATTCTCTATGATCAGTAAACTTGATGCTAGTGTTGTTCCTACTGGTCCCCAGGGAGGGGCCTGTTGCACTGATTCCCAGGTGTCTTTGCCCTGGTGGAATTGTACTGCCCTTGCCCTGGGGCCAGGCTTAGGGTAAGTGGCTCCAGATTGCACTATGTTGCACTGTTTTGTTCCCTGAAGGCTTCCAGCACCACTGGGGGGGGGGCTTAGAGGATGAAAATGGCAGTGTCTTGACCTCTAGAACCAGACAGAGTTGAAAGTTCATACTCCCACTATTCAGTGGACCCTCACAGAAAAGCAATCACTCTTGTCTCACTGGTTTCCATATGAATTCTGTCTTCACCCAGCCAGTGACCTAGTGTTTTTATCTCAGGCACATGACCCAGTTTAAAGTCTCCAAACTTTATGGACTCCTGTGGCACAAACCTAGATCATTCCTCCTGGGGGTTCTGGCCACACTCCTGCCTTTTGCTGGACCCCTGGCTTGGAGTGTAGTCATGCAACCATGCAGCAGTTTGCCATTTACAGTAACACCAAACAAAAAGCTAGCGCCTAGACTCATTGTTTTCAACCAGCTTTCCCACATTGAAGTGGCCCCAGGGATCCAGAAACCACATTGCTACCACCTGGGATTCTGCCCTGCTTTGTCACCTACATATCTTTAGGCCAGGGATATCCCCCATTGAGTTCAAAAAGTTCTCATTTTGAGCTCTGCTTGCTTATAATACTTTGCAGTAGCCTCCTTAAGCAAGCTCCTTCCCTTCCACCATTTCTTTTTTTTTTTTTATAGATATTGCTGCCAGTGAATAGAAGTCTTTTAATTTTTATTTATTTATGATAGGCACACAGTGAGAGAGACAGGCAGAGACACAGGCAGAGGGAGAAGCAGGCTCCATGCACCGGGAGCCCGACGTGGGATTCAATCCCGGGTCTCCAGGATCGCGCCCTGGGCCAAAGGCAGGCGCCAAACCGCTGCGCCACCCAGGGATCCCCCTTCCACCATTTCTTGCAATGTATTGCCCTAGACTCATGTCTTTGCATGTCCTACCTTCCAATAAGTGGATGCTTTTCTGTTTGTAGAACTGTAGCAATTCTTTTCTCAGATCTCTGATTGATCTTGCAGGTGTTCAGAATGATTTGATAACTATCTAGCTGAATTAGAGTTCCCTACTCCTCTGCCATTTTAACCCTTCCCCAGGACTGTAAGTTTTAAAACATAGGTTTCAAAACATTTCTCTCAATTTTTACCTTATAAACCAATAGCCTTACAACTACAGTAGCTGTGAAAACCAGCAGTTTGGGAGCCACACGCAAGAACAAAATACGTTTAGAGATTCCTAATACACTTTTTCCAGAGAAGAATCACTATTTGATATGTCTGTTAGCTTGATGAAAAAGTGCAATGTTGGTGCATGTACTTACGTGGCCTGCCCTATAGCTTGCTCTGTACAGAACATTTACCAAAATCAATCAGTGACAGTAATTTAACAGGGCAGGTGGGTGACATGGCATTGACAGTTGGAGTTTATAAGAGGCTGACTAAAAAATCTTGAAAAAAAATTGGGAAATGAGATGTCCACAAGGGGTGGCTTTATAAGGCTCTGACATATTCCTGGAATCTAAAAGGCAAATAGTATATGTATGGCTGTGTACATATCCAGGAAACATATGAAAGTTCCCTTATCTGTCACCTCTGGCTGAGCCTGAAGCTTTGAGTAAGCAGAAAGTGAAGGCTAA